CAATGAATAAAACATTTATTATTTTGCACGAGTTCATATAGCATAATCCTTCGAGGTCAAAAGTTTCATACATCATCTCGTCTTAGAATCGTTGAACTAAAAACACATCTATTAGATTGATTATACTCTTCCATTTTTCATCCATGCTAGCAAAACTCCAAAACCTGGCATCGCCACCTTTAGAAACATGCTCGATCTTCGTTTAGCCAATAACCACAAAAAAAATTGAAAAAAAACCCCAAAAAAGAAAACATTGTTTCAGAAAATCTGGTAATTCCACATATAATAACATTTGACACCAGTTCCGCAGTGCACAAACATCCCCTCAAATCCAAAATCAGGTTTACCCAAAGGCATGCAGCAGAGAGTATGAACTGAATGTATAATATAAACATGAGGCTACTAATAACTCAACATTAATCATCTTTTACCAAAACACACACCACAGATAAACTAAACCTGATTTTTTCTTTTCCCCCTTGTTTTCGGTGGAAGGGTCCTTGTCCTTCCCACTCTCTTTTTTCAGGCAAACTTGTTACTTAAGAAGAGATCTTGCTAGATGTTCTCGAGCTGTGGCTAATGCTTGACTTATTGTCTGCAATAGAGAGAGAGAGAGAGAGAGAGAGAGAGAGAGAGAGAGAGAGAAAAGAAAACACATTTCAAGATTATGGAAACTAAAGGAGAGGTAAAGGAAAGGAAAAAGAATCTGAAATATTGTACCTGCTCGGACAAAGGAGCACCACTGTCAATACTGTGACTTGCGACCTTCCCTGCAATGACGTTTGCATCCGTCTCGAGAATAATACTGTAAAGTACACACATGAAGGGTTAAAACACTCTAATAATCACATTCTTCTGCAATGAACGTGGTCCATAATGCCAGGATAGTTTGTAAAAAGAGGGAAGTATACTAGTGCATTGCAAGTTGACATAAGAATGGTGGCAATACCCTTCTTCATGAGAGGCAATGAAAACACCAAACCATTTGGATATACAGAGAAAAAAGAATCAATTCTTGAAAACAGCTTTGTGAAAAACTAAATCAATGAAATTCTAATGATTTGTAGTCTTGCATCAAAACATAGTTACCAGTACACATATCAATAGATGGAGTTTAAAAAATTAGAAAAAGGCAATTAGTAAGTTTATATCATGAACAAAACAATCATTGGTAACTGTATGCTTTAAGTTGACCAATGCAGGGTATCAGATGTCCGGCTATTTGTCCACTTAAAAAAGAAATAAAAGAAAAACTTTTGCAAATTATCATATTCCCGCAAGGAATATCTCTAACCCAAGATAATTTAATCTAGATGCTCTGCTCCATCAGCTATATCATAACAAGGATGGTTACTTTGTTTAATATTACAAGTACAAAGGGGCATAGGTGCTACTGAAACAAAGTTGTGCCTAGTTATTTATCTGCTACATTTATCAATGATGGTAAACTGAAAGGCAATAACCTACAAACGAACAGCGTTTGGTCAGCTGAGTTAGTAGCTCCAATTAGCAACGCTTTAGGTTTTAATATTACTCCCACTCAACTTATACGGTAACTTGTGGTTCGCTAATAAATAGGATCAATTAGAGTAACAATCACCTGTTAACTGTAACTTTTAACCAATTAAAATACACAATTATACCACTTCAAATTCTAGATTTCTGGTTTCTTGGGATTTATACTTCACGTTACATAATCTCGCCGCCACTATCATCATGATCACAAAAAGTATCTCCATAAACTCATGTAAACAATTCACTAGTGACATAATCGAAGTGAAGATGTGAGACAGCCAAATTCCTTGTCCAGTAAGAATCCACCAAATCAAAACTAACCAGTACTCCAATACTAATCGTTTAGACTATTATTCTACAGAATTTTAGGAACTACAATGAAAGCATATTTCTCACCCATCAACAAACTGTTTCCACATGTACTCATGACTCTATTACTTCTTTCCTTACAATGGATAAGTAATGACATATAAATACTACTACCTTCGATTCTTTTGATATAAATATCTAACAGTTAATACTTCAATTTTCACATCGATAACTGGTCTGACAAGAATAGGCACATCAACTTAGGGAGGGTATTAAATCAAAAAATGACAATCAAGATTCAAAATATTGATCAAAAGAAGGAAATAGAATAACAAGCAACACAATTGAAATGTGAATAAAGGTATGAGAAAAGAAGCAAATGAAAGATACCCTCCGTCGATAATTTCATCAAGACATAGTAAAATGAGGTCCAAGTTCTCAAGTGCCTCCTTCTTTTCTACATTACCCCTGTAGTACAAGAAACAAAAATGAGAAATTTAGAACAGTAGCATTTGATCAGGGCAGAAGGATTCAAAAACAAAAAAAATTGTCAAAACCTAAGAAGAAGGCCCACAGCATCAAAAAATCCCTGAAGAACGGATGCTAAAATGAGCTCATTTTCATCTTCTCCACCCGTGACAAAAAAGTGAAGGTCTTGAACAAACTTGTAAACCACTATATTGTTCTCAAACATTGCAATCTCCGCTGTATATTAGAAGTAAATATCGAGTTGAAATGTTGAGAAGGAATTGACCAACCATATAAGACACACAAAACAAAATGTGGTATTCCACAAAATGGTGCAGACTTGTATATGGTCTAACAAAAATTAAAGAATGCAGAGAACATTTTTTTTATATAAGAATGCAGAGAACTAAATAAACTTTCAAAGTAGACAATGACAAACCCATGATAATAGTAGTCACAAAAATGCAATTAAAAATAATTCTCTTATTCTCTCGTTAAAAAACAATGATATTGGATAAACCAAATCAGATAATTTGACTACCAAAAGATTCTGAGGCTTCCTTTGCGATTAAAACGGCATTGAAGTTGAACTAAATAGGAAAGGTGACATGATTAGGGATAATTAATCAGAAAAAACAGTTAAAACTTAGCATGAAAAAGTTGTTACCCTCTGTTCGAGCATTTGTCTTCTGAGTTTTGGTGAAAACAGCTTTCTCAAATGCTTCCTTTGTGCTATTTGTAGGCCAGTCATCCGAATAATACTTAACAGCTACACGCTTCCCTTCGGAATCCAAAAGAAGAATGTTTTTAATGGAAGGGCAAGATTCCTGCATATAAGAAAGCAACCAGGTTAGGATTGAGGGAGAAAATAGCCTTTGTCTGTGCACCAGATGGTTTTTCCCCTAATAATTATTGTCACAGATTTCTTGTCTGAAAAATAAGAACCTAATCCACTAAGAAAAATTCAGAAGCTAGCAAATAAGCTACATCAGAATTTGAGGATCGTGAAGTCTTTTGAAAAAGCTTCACAACGATTCCTATAGAGCATACACTAGGCTAATCAAAATCCTCCGAGCTGCTTCAAGCATTTTCACTAATTTGTATTGAGTCTCATAATGTGTGATTGATTTTAAATCAAATTTCGCCCAAGAGAAACGTAAAAATCTTGAAGTCGTCGGTTAGATTCATAGACAAAGCACAAACTCAATACGAAGAAAGTAATGCACAGACAATTCAAATGTTGCGACGAAACTAACAAGATCTACCCAAGCAAAGTCTAAAATCCGAATCGACTAAGTTCAGAGATCGATCTATAAAACTACGAACACAGTATCCAAGTGAGTTCAGAAGTCAGATCTACTAAGACATCAACCAATCAAACGTCCAAAATTGTCGAACAGAACTTCCTAACTAGAACAAGACTCCATGATCCTAACATCAATATTCATCCCCAAAAAATTCAGAGATAGTTACTTCAAGAATGCCGAAATCAGACGAATGTGCAACAGAAGCATTAAACAAAAACATGCTTAGTTCAAAATGAAGAAAGAAACTTACCATGTGGCTTGTAGAATTTTTTCCCGGGAAATTAATCTTCGGGAATTCGAGCGCAATCGGATCTCAATCGCGTTATCGACAGAGGCTTCAGAACAAAAATCGAAAACTAGGAGACTCTGTTCAAATACTCCGTCGACTCTGGCCGTCCCAAAAGTTACCTGAAATACAAATCGAGCCCCTTAGTTTTTCATAATTAAACTTTCACCTCGTTTCTTTAGATATTTATGTTTCGGACATTTTTGTAATTTCAAAGCCTTTTTTTTATTATTATTATTTCATGTTATATTATCTTTTTTTAATTGAGAAATTTGCAAAAATACTGATATTTTAAAAAATTATTTATTGTCATTATTTCATTAATTACCTTCTAAGCTTATAAATTTTTACAATTAGACCCTTAAATATGGTAAAATACATAAACCACCCTTGAACTATAAATATAGCTAAAAAAAAAAACCTTAAAAATAGAATTATTACAATTTAATTAATTAATAATTATAAAAATATTATTGTCACGTACGGTGAGAAGATTAATTGTTGCAAATGATGCAACCGATGCAACCTGTAATAATTTTAACGACCGTTGATGAAAATTTTGTAATTTACAAAAGAGATCGAACACTATACACTAGATATCGGAGAATTTTGAGTCTCCAATAAAGACTCTAATGCTTAAGTTAAATCCGAGAATTTGGAGTCTTACAGGGAAGAATTTACTTTCAATTATGCGGCATTTGTTCTAACCCCACGAACAAGTTAGCCGTATGAAAATCGTAAGTCGCAGACAATTCAGACGTATGATCGAGTCTCAGTCACGTTTGAGAGAAAATGCGTTGAAAATAATTTGTAAGAAAGAAATGTTATAGACAAAAAACAAATAAGCAACAACCACAACTTTAATAGCATATAACCCGAGTATGAAGAATTGACAACTAGTCATATCTTTAGATAATACATTGTAGGGTCACTTCAACCTAGGTGTAGACACAATTTTAGTGAGCGGTGATACATTTCATATTGACATGATGGGAATAGTGAAGACCTATCTATACAAGTAAATGGGAATTGAAACGGACATACGACCATAGATAACACATCCTAGACAAGTATCTTATGAACGAAAACATTTCTAATCATGTAATAGTATCCAATATAAGAACAATTAATGAAAGAAATATTCATACCCCATTCAGAACAAAACCATGTATAAATCCGACAGAACCTACAAGAACAAGCGACCATTTGTGTCTGTAAGAACTTCCATTTGGAACATAAATTCCCAGAAATCTGTTTGTGGATGCTTTTTTTCCACACCATCTTGTCCGTTTCAGTTCAAACACACTCAGTAGCTTTGGCAGATGAGCAGTCCATGGTGGTGGTGGATAAGATATTTGAGTTTCTGTGCACAAGAATTTGACTGTTTCATTAACTAAATTGCTTCCTTCCTCGTATAATCCGAGCCTAGCCGCAGCTTATCTGTCTGTCAATGATTTGAAATTTTCTGGTTTTATGTCAGTTTATGAGATCAAAAGGGGCAGAGATCCATGGCTTCTACATTCATTTATCTATTCAAAGACTCGAACTCGAATGGCAAGCCATAACACGACCAAAAAACTAACTTACAGACAGGAACAGCCTAAACCCAGCTCCTAAAATCACGTCTTTAGTACTACTGTACCGACAATGTTGACAGCGGAAGCCTCAAATAAGTTTTACTATTTTTTGTCAACGTCATTGTTAGATCCTACATTCATTGGAGAGGAGAGGAGAACAAGTGTCAGCGAGGACGGTAGGCCCTGAAGCGAAGTGGATTGTGAGATCCCATATCGGTTGGAGAGGGGAACGAAACATTCTTTATAAGGGAGAGCAACCTCTCCCTAAATGTTTTAAAAACCTTGAGGAAAAACTCAAAAGGGAAAGTTCAAAAATGACAATATCTACTAGCGGTGGACATGTTACAAATGGTATCAAAACCAGACACCGAGTGGTGTGCCAGTGAAAACGTTCAGTTTCGAAGGGGGTGGACACTGGACAGTGTGCCCCGAAAAGGATGGATTGTGAGATCCCATTTCGATTGGAGAGGGAAATGAGTGCTAGCGAAGATAATGGATCCCGAAGTGAGGTGGATTGTCAGATCCCACGTTGGTTGGAGAGGTGAACCGAGGATGTTGGGCCCCAAAGCGAGGTGAATTGTGAGGTCCCACGTTAGTTGTAGAGGAGAACAAAACATTTTTTATAAGGTTGTGGAAACCTCTCCCTAGCAGACGCGTTCTAAAAATCTTAAGAGGAAGCCCGATAGGGGGTGGACACTGGGCTGTGTGCCACGCTGAACCCCGTAGGGAAGTAGATTGTGAGAGAACCCACATCTATTAGGTAGGGGAACAAATGCCTCCTAGCTAGGCCCTGGAGCGAGGTGGATTGTGAGATCATATGTTAGTTGGAGAGGGGAACAAAACATTCTTAATAATGGTGTGAAAACTTCTCCCTAACAAACACGTTTCAAATCATGTGACGACACAAACAATCATAGCTAGAATCGAATGGATTAGACAAAATCATGAACTTTTGGAGTTTTCCTAAGATTATAATTCAAGAACTATCTCATTCATTACCATACATAGCTCATAACACAACCAGAACCACTTCCTCAGCAAGCTATGAAATCAATCTCTTCTCATTCATTTCAACACCAAAATGCATAACAACAAACAAAGCATTACCTCATGTTGGCACAGGCTTCTGCAGCAACGCCGTCAAGTAAACCTCCCTGTTCTTCACCCCGCCGGTATCCGCCTTATCCGCCGTCGCCCACTTAACCTTCCGGTACCCCAACTTGTTAATCAAAGGAGAATAAACCTTATCAAGATCCACCCCTTTGCTGAAGAAATGATCAAACCAAAGATAACCCCCAACTCTCAACACTCTATCAATATCATACAACAAAAACTCCATAGATTTCACAGGAATCCACCGATTCACAGCATGCCCACAACGGACCAAATCCATCACTCCATCAAAAACAGGCAACCGCTGCTGCAGCGGCACATGCAAAGGAACCAACCCTCTAAGCGCCGCAACCTCATTGTACGGCGCGCCAAGGTTCATAGTCGTAGTGACTATAGTGACATTGTAAAGCTTCATTCTAGCACCAAAAGTGGCGGTTCCACCGCCAATATCGAGGCCAAGACGAAGAACAGAGTTAGACGCCTTCATAATCTGCAACAATTGAGGGATTGGGAGGTCCAATTCAGTCTTGTAGGTCATGAATTTAGTGATTTCACGAGAAGGGTCGAACCCCAAATTCGGATTCAATCGATTCAAACACCCAAAACCCTTACACGAATATTTCCTCCAAATTACATTGGCCTCCGGAATCGAAGAATCAAAGGGATTTTGCGGCAAAGAAGAAGAGGGTTTTTGTGGGGTTTTGGCAAAACACCGCCGACGAGGAAGTGGATGACATCCACGAAGAATCAAAGCCTCGGCGAGCTCAGAATCAGAAGGGCAAGTCGAAAATGGAGTGTAGTTCATGAACCTATGAAGAAGCTCTGGATTGCTATGGCAAGAGGAAGCAAATGGGGAGAATTGGGAGTACAGGACGAGATCTGAAGGGATAGAGTGTTTGGTTTTGGATGCAGTGGCTACCGCCGTGGGGTGGAGGCGCGTGAGGTGGTTGATGGTGGCGCGTATGGTCTGAAGCTGCCGGATTAGGTGATCGGGAACTGGCTGAGAAACAGGGGATTTCGTGGATTGAATCGTGGAAGAAAGATGGTAAAGAGAAAGGATATTGGTGGCCACCATTGCAACGAGAAGAAGCAAATTCAAACCCATTGTGAAACCCATTACGCGAAATTTTTCCTTCTCTCTCCGTTTTTTCACATACAAATCTCCCACTCTATGGAGCTTCTCGCTGCCATGGCTTCACAGACGTGAGAATCTTGGAGAGAGTTAGGATCCACTACAACGCGTTTCTTAGAAATCATTTGATGGAATGTCGCTAGGGCGTTGGATTTTTGAATTGTAGATCGAGGTGAGGACGGACGGTGATGATTTGTACGTTGTTGTGGCATTTAATAGGATTTTGTTTTTCTTTCTGCTGTAGGCTTTGATTAAAGAAAGAGCAGAGAGGAACGTGAATTTAGGGCAACTTATGGTGTGAAAAGCAAATCTCATGCAAATTTCTATTTATTTATTTATTTATTTATCATTATATTTTATAAAGTTTTAACATTATTTATTAAAAGTAAAAAAAGTGGAAACGTGACAATAATTTGGAATTGTTAAAGCTTTTCTAAATTTTATAGATTAATTTGTGAACTGTGAATAAATAAACATTTTTTTTTATAAAAATTACTCTTTTTTAAGAACTCAAAATACATCCCTATCAATTCAATATAACTTACAATTTGAACTTTTATATGAACTTTTATATGACTTAGAACTAGAACTTGAACTTTTAAGTTACACGTATTAGCTCAGCTCTAGAATTACTAAAGTTATTCGAGTAGCAAATACCATCAAATGAACTATAACTGATTTAACGAGTCATTTACAATTTCAGTTTGAATTAGTTCATACTTACACATGCATAACTTGACCTTTAAGACAAGCATATGACTACGGCGGGGCAAGGCACGTGCACAGGAGCATGCGAGCGAGGGCGGGAGGCACACGAGAACACGCAGGTGGGACCAGGTGGGCAAGTGCGCAGGAACATTCCAACACCGCGCCACCACCATCAACCACCCTCGACCTCTGACCACCACCCCCACACCTCCAAGCACTTGTGTCGACCTAAAAGTTCTCGACCCAACTCAAGTACTCAAATCATTTTCATAGCATATATTTTGAAAATAATGGCATATCAAATAAAAAAACTATGAAAGTAACATTTAGAAGTTAGAATTTTCAAAATATAGATAATTATCAAACAAGCCTCAACAAACCAAAAAAAAAAACTTTAATCTCATTCATTACAAACAAGAATGGTAACACAATATACATTGATGCAAAAGACCTATAATAAAAGATACCCATTTAGCCATATATCAACAGGCTAAAAATTATATAATCTGTATCCACAAACAAGAACAATAAAAGGCATGAGAATGAAATTTCCATAAGCAACATGGCTGCGTTTAAGATTCCAAGAATAAAGTCACATAAACATAATGATTTGAATTCAACTTTATAACCAATAATCAACTTAACAATACGTTTTATAAAGTATTTCAATTTTCAATGACCACAATTTTCATTCAATAATAAGGAGAATCGTATTGATTTGTTAAACTAAACCCAAAAATTCCTCTTTCACAAGTCTCAGTTCTACATAAAACAAATACGAAGACAAAACATCCCTGATAAAGGAATAATCAAAAACAAGCTGGAGTTCTGAAAAACTAAGGTAGCAAGATTAAGGAGAGGATCAGAACCATAGAGAAACGACCAACATAGCGCCATAAAAGGAGGAATCCGGGAGCGAGCTTACAGCCTTCTTCCTCTTCTTCCACCCTTTCTGCGAGTGCTGTCTGTTGGAATTGGAGTCACATCCTCTGGAACATATCAAAACGAAAAAGGGAATTAGATTTACACCGAATGATGCAGCATACGGTCAAAGAGCTTAGTCGAATGTACAGTATTCATGAATGTTAGTATATTATAGAGATAACGACTTTACCAATACGACCAATCCTCATTCCAGAACGAGCAAGAGCACGAAGTGCAGACTGGGCACCTGGGCCGGGTGTTTTAGTCTTGTTTCCTCCGGTGGCACGTAGTTTAATGTGAAGAGCAGTAATGCCAAGTTCCTAGTAGTGAAAAAAAAAAGTGTGGCAACAGAAAAGTAATAATGTTCAGTAACAATGTAAAAAGTTTATGAAAGCTAAAAATGAAATTAAGAAAATGGAAACATTTAGAATCAGTCAATACAACGGTTACAATCTATAAAGAAATGGAGAAAAACGAGTAAGAAATAATATAAACAGAGTATGAAACCTTGCATCTCTGAGAAACATCTTGTGCTGCAAGCATAGCTGCATATGGAGAGGACTCATCCCTGTCAGCTTTCACCTTCATCCCACCTGAGTTCATCACAACACGGAATCTCACTTCTTATTTGTCCACACAAACATAAAGAAGCGGAAAAAAATAGCATGACTAATACTTTTATCAACGATCACTTCCACACCCTTGTATATGACAATATAAATTTCAACGTTCACTTTCCCCCTCGGAGAAATTAGAGGATCACTCTCCCGCTTTGAGAGAAGAGAAAAATAAAAGCACTGCATACACATTCCCACATGCAAGAAAAAGACCTCACTATAGGATAAGAAAATCCTATCTCACAACCTCTATTATAGGACAACTCCGATTCGAGTATAGTGAGTCTAACAGACAATTACGAATAAACTAAAACCATGCATCATATTCATAAATGCAGAAACTTTTCGTGCTTCAATGCAAATCAAGGTTTAAGTAATATGCCGTTCTAAGACCTTGTATTAAGTAGATTAAAAATTTTATACAAAAATTATTTTATTTACACGACCAATGATGCAAATACATATTGGTAGGCACAAAAACTAGGCAATAAAAGGAAATATCTCAGATTCATGGTTTCAAACACTTCAATTTAAAAGTAAAAATAAGTACGAAAACATTTGTTGTTTCACCTGTAATGCGGACAAGTGTTTCCCTCCCAGAAAGATCAGTCACATGCTGCGGTTGGAACAACAAAGTCATCATTTTGTTAATGAAAAAGCAGCCAATTTATATGCATCTTTCCACTTACAATGAATGTGTCATTGAATGAGGCAAAAATGTGAGCAACACCAAAAACATGCTCGCCTTCCCTCACGGCAGGCCCAAGTGTCACAGTTTCTTCCTTAGGTTCCCTGGTCTTCCTCCTTGAGCCAGACTATGGAATCCAGAACAAAAACGAAAGCAAAGTAAAGATCGCTATATTTCAATAGACTATAATTAAGGTACTATCTAATCTAATGCATAAAGAAACAAAGATGGAAGTCAACTCCATGCCAGTCACCAAGTAACAGAAGCATTATTATTAAACAAAAACCCAAAAACAGGTATAGGTCTTCTCTCTCTCTTTCAAACAGACAAAGTAGAGGCACGCATTATAAGCCCTTGAAGTGATATAAGCCCTAAATTTCAAAACATGACAGAACAGTCTTCAAGAAATCCAAAGAACAGAGTTAGTAAACTATAACTTACATAGTGGTTTCCCAATTAAAACACACAGCATAAACCTTGATTATGAGGAATATACTCATACAGTAATCTGCCCTATCAAAATTCGGGATTTAATACTTCCATTTGCACAAATTTTGGAACCGATACGAAACAATCTCATGACTTTCATGGTGTAAACAAAAAAGACTCAAAGAAGTTCTTCACAAAATCCCGGCATGACCAACCATGCGTGATGATCGAAAAACTCAACGGTAATCGTAAATGACATAAACGACCAGTAAGCAGTGATTTAGAACAAGATTAGATCTACTCACCATGTTTTCCAACAGATGAAGGAAGTATCTTCCGCTTTGTGGAGCTCTAGCGAGATTTTGCCGCCTGCAGAAATCCTTCGTGCGAGAAGAAGGGTAAACGATTGTCGGCCAAAATTTATATGACGTGAGAATTAGGGCTTTTCCTGTTGGGCCTTTTAGCTAAAAGTTGATTTACCGAAATACCCCTACCATTTATGCCTAATATATGCGGCCCATTAATGGTCGAGTAGGAATTTCACAAATAATAACATTTTTCTTGGATTCAACCAAAAATAAATAAATAAATAAAATAAATAAATAAAAAATCAGTGTTTTCTTAGAAAATTCAATTTTTTGCCCCTAGAAATTTCAATTCACTCATTGATCTTAATATAAAAAATCAAAATTTATATGAAATTAAATTAAAAAAATGTTTGCCTTTCTTATCCCGGTCCTTAGGAGCTTTTCCCTGTTCTTACCTCCTATTTCAATCTCGGTTAAATTTTCCATTTATTTTTTCAGGATCAACAGTTAAAAAATCAATTCAGTAGTTAGCTGCTTTGAAAGACTCAACTTCTGGCTTCTCTCCTGAACCTTTATTCCCTTCACTTGACAGTCGGGATCGTCAAAGAGCCCCTAATAGACTTGACTTTACTGAACCGTCTATCGAGCTACTTACTTCGAAACCTTTCACAAGAATGATCCTGAACCTCTCCCTGAAAAAGAAAGTCAATCCTTGATTCTCGACCGTAAAGGATAGGGCACAAAATCACAAACGGAAGTAAGAAAGAAGAATGCTACGTTGACTCCGCGTCCACCGAAAGTAGGTTACCTTCGTCACCGACATATTGAAATCACCATTTACTCTAAGTAGTAATTAAAAGAAAATATATTATTTTTATAATTATTCATTAATAAATTAAAAATGAGGTCGTTAAAATTATTTTAATAACATAAACGGTGCAGATATTATCATCCCAATATGAAAATTTGTATACAAATAAAATGTTCATATTGTTAGGCGAACACGACTCTCTACAATGGTATGATATTGTCCACTTTGAGCATAAGCTCTCATGGCTTTGCTTTGGGCTTCCCAAAAGGTCTCATAGCAATGGAATTAGTATTCCTCACTTATAAACCCATGATCATTCCCTAAATTAGCCGATGTGGGACTCACTTTCATCATCCAACACATATTACTTACCAGAATTATGCAAAAAAACTCTCATTTGGTACGATAGATATAGACATCTAAGACGTTGTAATAGAAGGAAGTGGCAGGAGGTTTGCCATAGTCAAATACGTCGTTTAAAATATACACGGATTTGTATGGTGGGAAAGAAGCATTATGATATGATTACACGAGTTTACGTAGAGCATCATAAACACGGTTGCTGGAATACGCTCACATTTGCTAACCATATTGAACAAGTTTTTCTCTACATGTTACACTAAAAAAAAAAAAAAAAACGAGCAATTGAACCTAATAATAGAACGATCATGAACATGATTAGAAGTA